TGCCCTCTGTCCATTCTTGCCTGTTAAAATTTCCTTCATTCACTTCTTCTGTAAACTGATGGTGAACTCTTGTTCCTTTAGTTGTCTATAGTTTGCATAGCTCTGTTACTTGTGGAACTGTGTCACCAGACATATCAGACCTCAGACACTCAGATATCTCCACCTCTCACAGTGCTCCTCAAAGAACAGATATGAAGGTTTGCCCTCTGTCCATTCTTGTCTGTTAAAATTTCCTTCATTCACTTCTTCTGTAGACGTCACATCAACATCTTCCCCCCGTTCCCTGTTTTCAACCACGACTTGACCACACCCAACTTATTTCAGAGCCACAGTGCTCATTCTGCTAACCAATGCTCATTACCAGAACTATTTCCAGAACAGTCAGGAGGCCAATAGACCTTACATCTACTGAGTACTTCAAGATAACAGAAGAAAAAGCTTCTTTACTAAACCAGAAAAAGTTACATAATTGATCAAAGACCAAAAATCAGTTTCAAGTATCTTCAGCAGGTCATGTTTTCCCATTTGTACAGATGTTTTAATCAGTATTTCTGGAACAATTACAGCTATTTCCATCTATTTTGTAAGTATTCAGTGTATATGTTTTTAGTGGTGAAAAGGTTGAGTTGTAAAGAATTACTACATCATTGCTTTCAGTTGTAGAAGAGTAATTTTGGATGTGTGACAGTTACAAGGGGTCCTATTCAATAGCCATCTCCATCCTTTGACTGTTAAATCTGCCACACATTTTGATCCGATTGTACTATTTCCTTTTAATTTATCAAGAAGTCCCGTAATGCAAAGACCTAAAGACCGGACAGAAATTCAATGGATTATTTGGGTATGCCCTCACAGCAAATAGTTGTTTGTGGCTGCTTGTGTACATTGTTAAAGTGGTTTTAAAGGCTGAAAGTTTTTAATCTTCATGCATTCTATGCATGATGGTAGAAAACTTTCTGTGTGGTTCTTCCCCCTTAGCCCCCCTAATATTTATCTGAGCCAACTCTCGATCCAACGCTATGCATGAGAGTTTCAGCTGTCCTGGGGCTCCCTCTCCTCATTGGCTGAGACAGCCATTGGCTCCCACTGCTGTCAATCCCAACCAGTGAGTCAATGAGGAGAGAGCAGGGGGTGGGGCAGAGCCGCAGCTCTATGTGTTTTTTGGATACATAGAGCCAGGCTCAGGAGCAAGCATGCACCAGTGCCCCCATAGCAAGTGGCCTGCTATTGGGGGCACTGGTCAAGGGAGAGGAGCTAGGAGTGGTGACAGGGGACCCTAGAAGAAGAGGATCGGAGATGCCCTGTGCAAATTCATTGCACAGAGCAGGTACAGTGAAGGAAATAAGTATTTGATCCCCTGCTGATTTTGAATGTTTGCCCACTCACAAAGAAATGATCAGTCTAAAAATCGAATGTTCGGTGTATTGTAGCACTGACAGACAGAATAGCAACAACAAATTCAAAAGAAACGCATGTCTAACAAATGATGCACTGATTTCCATGTTCATGAGGGAAATAAGTATTTGATCTCCTATCATTCAGCAGAATTTCTGGCTAGCAGGTGTCTTTCATACAGGTAACAAGCTGAGATTAGAAGCAGTCTCTTAAAGGGAGTGCTGCTAATCTCATTTTGTTACCTGTATAAAAGACACCTAAACATTCAAAATCAGCAGAGGATCAAATACTTATTTCCTTCACTGTAAGTATGACGTGTTTGTTATTAAAAAAAACAAAAAAAACAAAAACGTCAAACCTTTAATACTACTTTAAGCTCACCACACATGATTGTACAATCTCCTTTAGATCTACAAACAACTAAATAGTGTAAAGGCCTACCTATTAGATACAAATGAATTGGATAGTTTAAGTACACCTTCATATAATTTAGTTTCGGTAATTCAAAAAGAGATAGTACAGTCAGATTGTAAAGTATATGCGGTGGCCATATACTGTATGTAGCCCATGTAATCTTCTTTGGATTTGTTGACCATATATAAATATAAGGGTCTACCTAGAAAATACATTAATTAGTATGCAGTTAGGTAGGCCCTTCCTTACATAATTGGTCGCAGGTCTCAATCAATCTGAAAAATGTTTGGTCAGCTCAAAGTGTATCTAAACTTTTATTTATTTATTTTGAATTTAGTCTTTGGTATCGTTTAGAAGGGTTAAACCACCTTTCAGGTTTTTCTTCCGCCATTGTCCAAAGGCAGATTTCTTTTGATTTTCCCCTTATGTCTAATTTGGTGACTTGTGTAACCTTTGGATACTTCAAAACTGTCTACCTTACTTTACATGACATACCTGAAGGCCAAAGTGAGTGACCATCACTGTTGACGGCATTGCAAGACCAGACCTATGGTAGGTCTGCACTATCCTATGGAGTTCTCACTGGTTTATTTATTTCAGGTACTTATATAGTGCCGTCAATTTACGCAGCGCTTTACATATATATTGTACATTCACATCAGTCCCTAACCCTCAAGGGGTGTACAATCTAAGGTCCTTAACTCACATTCATACATACACATACTAGGGACAATTTAGACAGGATCCAATTAACCTACCAGCATGTCTTTGGAGTGTGGGAGGAAACCCATGCATGCACATGCAAACTCCAGGCAGGTGGTGCAGTGGTTGGGATTCAAACCAACGACCCTAGTACTGCCAGGTGGAAGTGCTAACCATTTAGCCACTGTGCTGCCCATAACTGTTTAATGCAGATTAACTTAATTGGAGGAGAGTTGGTCATGTGACTTTATCTATTTTTCAGCCATAATTAGGAGAAATGTTGCCATTTTGGAAAAATGCATATGAAAAAATAGGTCCATGCAGATGGCAAAATTAAGGTATAATGGGTTTTTTAGTGACTTCTGATGGTTACCGAACCTCTTTTCTACTATCCAGGACCTTTTATTTCTATCAAAAAATGGCCCCACATTATCCTCATTATTTTTCATTTTTTTCACAAAAAGAAAAAAAATTGGACAGCAAAAAAAAAAGTAAATTGAATAATGTACACATATAAAAAAAAAAAAACTCCAAAAAAGAAAAAAGACACAAGTACAAGGGACAATTTAGTAAATGGAATAAATGAAACAAGTCTAAATACACCTCCCAAAAATCCACCATCTCTAAATAGAAAAAGAATAGTAGATATTTTTCCTTCAATTTATCCAAAACAGCTATTTGAGTGAAATTGAGACTTTAGTCTCCAATGAAATTTGAAGGTGAAATTGTTAATCTGATAGAGAAATCAGTTTTGACAAAATCCCGGTGCTCATCCATAGTATAATTTACAAAGGGTACCCCCCTTCACACAACAAAGCGTAGGCTTGCTGATTGGCCACCAAGGCACCATATGCTGCATTCTGGGGAGGCAGTGGAGGTCTGGAAGTTGAAGCTCAAAAAAGTACGATTCACATATTTTTGGCCCTATGGACTTCAGTGAGAAGACCTGAAAATGCCTTAAACACGCATTTTTCATGCTAAACCAAAAAAGAACGCTCAAGCCTGAAAACACTTAAAGTGTTACTAAAAACCCACATCAGTACAATCAGTCTGTATATGCAGTAACCATGCTTGTTATACTCACTGTGGCACCTAAGGGGTTAATCCTCCACAATGTATAAAAAAGCTGTTTCATCCTGTCTCCTCTGATCCTCCCCTTCTTCTGCTGTCTCCAATCCATCTGTTGATAGTACAGAGCCCTAGGAGTTGCTTTGCACATGCTCAGTTTAGTGTGTATTGCTATATATATATGTATATATATATATATATATATATATATACACTATATATATATTTTTTTTTTTAGGTGGGTGCATGTGATTGGCACAGGGCCAATTAGCGCTGTCCAGACAGAGGTCAGGAGTCATGTCATGCAGTTTCATAGGACAGTCAGAGCAGAATTCAAAACCCTCCAATAAGCTGGACACTGATAGAAGTCACAAGACTGCTATAGACTCCTGATAACAAAAGGTATTTAACAGTTTATATTTACTAAAATAATTACACCAAACAGAGAATGAAGAGATGTTTCCTGAATTATAGTGAGTCTTCTGACTCCTCTCAACACCCCACCAGCCTGTGGTTCTCCTACTACAGTATATTTAGCCAAATAAGTCCAGTAGGAGCATAAGGAAAACCTTAAAGTGTTACTAAACCCACAAAAGTACAATCAGTCTGTATATGCAGTAACCATGCTTGTTATACTCACTGTGGAACCTAAGGGGTTAATCCTCCACATGGTATAAAAAGGCTGTTTGATCCTGTCTTCTCTGATCCTCCCCTTCTGCTACTGTCCCCAATCCATAGAAACAGAGCCTTGGGGGCAAGCTGCACATGCTCATTTTGGTGTATATTGCTAGTCTATCCTGCTTCTATCTAGTAAACCGCCATTTATTTTCCTCCATCAGCTCATCCCCCCCACAGCTACTACCTTTTATATCACTCAATCCTTCCTCCTAGATTGTAAGCTCTAACGAGCAGGGCCCTCTGTTTCCTCTTCTACCAAATTGTATTGTAACTGCAATGTCTACTTTTATTTTGTAAATCGCTGCGCAAACTGTTGGTGCTATATAAATCCTGTATAATAATAATAATAATAAAAAAAAATAGTCCTTGTATTATGCTGTCACCTATCAATAAACTTTTATGGAACAAAAAAAAAAAAATAGTTTGTTTTTCTTGGGAAAGTGAATGTGATCAGCACAGGGCCAATCAGCGCTGTCCAGACAGAGGGTCAGGGGTTATGCAGTCTCATAGGACAATAAGGGGAAAATGAAAACTCCTCCTACAAGCTTTAATCAGTGCTCTCTGCTGGACACTGATAGAAGTCACAAGACTGCTATATGCTGCTGATGAGAAAAGGTATTTAGCAGTTTATATTTATTAAAATAATTGCATTTCCATGTTGTGTGTACTGTGGGACCAGATATAGTGAATGCAGGGTCCGGGGAGACCAGATATAGTGAATGCAGGGTCCGGGGAGAACAGATATAGTGAATGCAGGGTCCTGGGAGACCGGATATAGTGACTGCAGGGAGTGGGGAGACCACATATAGTGAATGCAGGGTCCAGGGAGACTGGATATAGTAAATGCAGGGTCCAGGGAGACCGGATATAGTGAATGCAGGGTCCGGGGAGACCAGATATAGTGAATGCAGGGTCCGGGGAGACCAGATATAGTGAATGCAGGGTCCTGGGAGACCAGATATAGTGAATGCAGGGTCCGGGGAGACCAGATATAGTGAATGCAGGGTCCGGGGAGACCGGATATAGTGAGTGCAGGGTCCTGGGTTTAGTAACACTTGAATGCATTTGCAGAAGTTTTGAGGCTTTGTGGCCCCCCTTAACTCTATTACTTAGTCATGGGCCCATGAAAGAAATTAGGATAAATACAGCCCTGGGCAGGGGAGTGTATACCTGTAGATCGGGATAGCAAGGGAGCGAATGTAAGCAAATTTTCTTAAAACAGATCTAAGCCCTAATTGGCTGACATTTAGATTTCTAAAGCACTGCATACCATAAACCAGTGCCATGGTTTTTTTTGGGTTTTTTTACGTGTTTCCACTTTTTTTATCCTTTTTTTCCATTCAGTGCTACTGATTCCTTCAAGCCTCTTCCAGCCACTTCCTATCTACATGCACTTACGCTACTGTGAGCTGCATATCATATCTCTGGACCGGCTTCCGAATGGTACCAAAAGCCAGAACATGCCTGAGCACTGAATGTCAGCATAGGTGCCTACAGGGGCGGACTGACCATTTGGAAACTCCGGCACTGCCCGAGGGCCCAGGGTCAGTAGGGGGCCCCATGAGATGCCCCTGGTACCTTTTTCATAGGCTTTTTTGAGCTTTGGCAAGGACACAGGGGCCCCATAATCCCCTATTGCCCGGGGGCCCCATGAGTTGTCAGTCTGCCCCTGGGTGCGTATAATCTCCACCAAAACAGCATGTAACATAGTGCCAACACAGAGGTGCAACAGATGAAAACGTTGTTACCCCACACCAAAAAGTGAATCATCAAGGATCTTTGTTGTAGGATCACTTGATATTATCTCCTTCTTGCCGGATGTACGCATACATATGACCTCTTGGCAGTTGGGCCTTGGTGTACCCCAAGAAAAACAGAACTGTGCCACGAGTGCGCACTGTATGCCAACGCAGAGGTGCAACAGATGAAAACATTGTCACCCCACACCAAAAAGTGAATCATCAAGGATCTTTGTTGTAGGATCACTTGATATTATCTCCTTCTTGCCGGCTGTACGCATACATGTGACCTCTTGGCGGTTGGGCCTTGGCGTACCCCAAGAAAAACAGAACTGTGCCACAAGTGCGCACTGTATGCGCTCCCGGCACAGTTACCAGCACCTAACAGAAAGCTCCCAATCTTTACTTGTGACCTAGAGCCAATCCAGCAGTCACATGATCACAAACTCTGCCCCGCCTCCTGCTATCTGAAACCCCTTAAAGGGCTGGGAGGCACTGGCGCCAAGGGGCTCATTAAACGAAAGCTGAGAGATTAAAAAAAAACCTAAAATTTACTTTTCAGATTAAATAAAATTAAAAAAAATATGTTTTAGTGATTGTGTCATTACCATTGCATGAACCTATTATTTTGCATAGTATGAAGTACAGGTTTACATTAGGAGGAATTAATCAACATTTATTCAATTTCCCATCTCAATATGGATCCCCTAGTGGATCAGTTCACTTCATGATTGGTGAGTGAGTGGTATACAGTATGTATCCACTGTATGCACTGAGTATAATGATTAGTCACCATTAAAATATATTTGGATGAGATTTATATATCAAGGGTTATAATTGTGTTTTATATTTGTTTGTATTTTAATTTTAATTTTATTTTTATGTAATATATTTTTATCCATAATTGGGATGTATATACCTAAATTGTTTTGTCATGATAAATGTGGGCGATATAATAGGATTTTGGATCTATTAAATTAGGATCCAATTTTGTTTTTTTGCCCATAGCCATATTACTGGGTTTCACTTTACACAGGTGTTTATAATCTATAGATAGAATCATCCCCTGATGTCCATAGTATTCAATCGAATCATTCTTGGTGCTTACAGCATTGATTTCAGCTGTTTGCTTCTGTGTACCCGATGTTTGGCGTTTGCACATGCGCCATCGGGTCGGACTACAACAATATGGCGCCTGTTGCGCGGACATCCAGCATAGGGAAAATGGCGCATGACGTACCGTGCATGCGCCACCGTTTGTATTTAAAGACTGTCATTTGCGTCCACCACTGTAAGCTGCACCCCTATGAGTACGAGCCATTGCTCGAAACGCGTCAGGTAAAGCTACAGCAGGTCGGACGCCTTACCGCCGGCGCCACGAGGGGCCCCGGCGGCCATCTTTGATTTTCACTTGGTCAGTATACTTTTGCATGTCAGTTTTCCTGCTATCCTGTACCTCTAATAAAGATACCTGAGGATATTACACTATGTGGCCCTTTCTATTTATTTGAGCATTGGTGAAAACTGGCCAAATCTACGGAAAAGCTACATCTATTTGGATACCAGGCCTTGAGGGATATGCTGACCAGATCTGACCAAACCAGGATGAGGACACATGAGGTCCAGTGATAATTTACACAAATGCGCATAAAGATTGCGTATCTGGTGAGTGCGCAGTCTTTATATTTCATCACCTGTTGGTCCTTCATATAGGACGTTTGAAGATCATCCCGGATCTCAAGAGCACTCCTTCATTGGACTGTTTCACTTTCCTCACTTTACGGCCACCATTTAGTGGCGTTATTAATTGCAGTCACTGTTTATCACTATTGTGTACCATCAGTGGTTTATTTATTATTGTGTCTAGTTATATAGCGCTGCACCTCCTCTTTCACATTAAAGGGCTATATTCGGCACCAGGGCCATAGTTTGGAAACCACTGCTATATATCTTACCTTCAGACCTAAAAGGGAGTTGCAACCAAAAGTGGGATCATCTCTCCTAGATAGAGACACTATAATGTTAGTGTATGCTATAGGTGGTCTAAAACTATAATAACAGCCTTCCTGCCTTGTATGAATGTTGGATACCGAACACCTTGACCACTATGTTCTTAAACATGAAGCATCCTCTTCCAGCAACTGGCATATTACACCTGTGCCCATCTCTGCCAGATGTTGTCTTAACCAAACACAGAAATGGTGCCCCATTGCTGGTGTCAGTTGGCAAAATAGTGTCTTGTTACAGAAGGAGGAATAGTGCCCCAATGGCCAGATAAAGGCAAGCAAAGGGCTATATCCGGCCCCAGGGCCATAGTTTGGAGACCACTACTATATATCTTACCTTCAGACCTAAAAAGGATTTGCGTCCAAAATTGGCATCATCTCTCCTAAATACACTATAATGTTAATCTATGCTACAGGTGGCCTAAAACTATAATAAAAGCCTTCCTGCCTTGTATGAATGTTGGATACCGAACACCTTGACCACTATGTTCTTAAACACAAAGCATCCTCTTCCAGCAACTGGCATATTACACCTGTGCCGTCTCGGCCAGATGTTGTCTTAACCAAACACAGAAATGGTGCCCCATTGCTGGTGTCAGTTGGCAAAATAGTGTCTTGTTACAGTAGAAGGAATAGTACCCAATGGCCAGATAAAGGCAAGCAAAGGGCTATATCCGGCCCCAGGGCCATAGTTTGGAGACCACTGCTATATATCTTACCTTCAGACCTAAAAGGGAGTTGCATCCAAAAGTGGGATCATCTCTCCTAAATACAGACACTATAATGTTAGTCTATGCTACAGGTGGCCTAAAACTATAATAAAAGCCTTCCTGCCTTGTATGAATGTTGGATACCGAACACCTTGACCACTATGTTCTTAAACACGAAGCATCCTCTTCCAGCAACTGGCATATTACACCTGTGCCCGTCTCTCCCAGATGTTGTCTTAACCAAACACAGATGTGCACCGGGGTGTTTATTTACAGAGCACTCCGACAGTATGTGAAAGCCGTATTCTAAATACTCCGGGGACACGCTGAATTAAACTTAAAATAACCATTAACACAGCCACTTATACTGAGTATATACCAGCCGAACAATGATCCGTGTGTCTGACTGCACAATCAGCACTGGAGTGTGGAAATGGATAAGTGTGCATGTAGTAACCTGTTACCGAGCATATGTGAATGTTGGGCTGTACAATGCATGACTCTTCTTCAGTCACACGGGCAACAGCGAAACCAGGAAAAGTCTAAGCCTAGGTAAGGAAACACTGTGGCCGTACTTTTTTCCAAAATTCCTCTAAGATGAACTTACTGTAGAGTGAATGTAAATGGAAAAGTTTTTTATTTAGCTTTGAATAGAATGTAGGCAGGACAGACACTTGTTTCAGTTGCTGTTGGTATTCCCGTTGGGAAGGTTCACCACTCTATTTTTACTAATGATCACTGTCCATGAGACAAAAAGTTTGGGGAAATCCAAACTTTTGTCAAGTTTTGCAAAAGTTGTCACCAAAGCAAGAGCTAAGAAAAAGTCATCCAATCTGGTTCCAATGCCAACTGTCCGAAGCTGGCCTTGTTGCACCAGTAGTATTTCGTTAAAAAAATTTTGTTCGTTTTTGGAACATTCTTTAAATTTTCTGGTATCAAAAAATGTTTTATTGAATAGATCAACAGAGTATCAGAGCAGAAGCAATACATCATTTAACAGTTGTTCAAAGGAAAAGAACAATGTACAGATTCATAATAAGGAGAATGACCCACACAGGGGTCCACGTAACAGAGAACAGATTAATATTTGGTTGTCTAGAGCAGGGGTCCCCAAGCTATGGACCTCCAGGTGTTGAAGAACTGCAAGTCCCATGAGGCCTTGCAAGACAGCCACAGGCAAGACTCCCAGAGGCAGAGGCATAATGGGACTTGTAGTACTTCAGCAGCTGGAGGGCCATAGTTTGGAGACCCCCAGGTCTAGAGTAAAAACTGAAGGATACACCGAGTTCATGACCAGAAGAATAGCAAAACCTGGTAGTATCTAATGTAGAGTCATAGAACCTGCCTGCCGGGATGTCTCCCATCAATGTCCCATCATTAGCTCACCACGGGGAAAAAAAAGGGGGGGGGGGGGGTGAAGGTCAATTCCGTAATCTATAGAAAGGAATTAAGAAGGATGGGGGAGCATGGCATTCGACGATACCAAACAGAGGCCTTAGTAAAAAAAAAAAAATAGAAGAAGAAAAAGAAAAGAGAAAGGAAACAAATAAGAAATAGCAAGAGAAAAGCGAGAGGAGATGGGAAAAGAAAGATCTCACCATTTCAGAAGGAAGTGAAAAAATGAAATGGAGAAGAAGGGGAGGAAAAGGTAGAGGCATATAGACTAGAAGAAAAGTTCACCAATGAGGAACACAAGAGCACGTTGACTCCACGAAGGGAAGTGTTACACTGTAGGTTAGAGA